CTAAAGAATCAAGTTCTTCAATGCTGTGAGACAAAACGACGAGCTCTCTGTTAAAGACTTTTGGAAACAATTCAATGTTTTAGATGCAGTGAGAATCATTGGACAATCTTGGAATGAAGTTTCCCAAAAAACTTTAAATGGCATCTGGAAAAACTGTGTTTTTTTTTTCACCACTGAAACTCAGGCGGAATCAGTGCCAGAGCCTGATGAAATTGGTAATGTGATTGAAGAAGTTTTCGATCTTGCCAGGCAAATAAATTTAGAAGTGGATAGTGATGACGTTCGAGAACTGCTGGATTCCCACAATCAGGAACTGACAATTGATGAGCTCATAGAAATGTGTGAGCAAGAGCAAGACATTGAAGAACTTGATTCTTTAGATCCAGTTCAATCAGAAGATTGAATGACGGTTGGAAAATTGACAGAAGGCCTCAGTTTTATTGAAAAGGGGTTACAAATTTTAGAAAATATAGACTCCAACGAAGAGCTCATTTCTTCTACAAAACGACAAATAAAAAAATTATTAGCGTGCTACGAGGAAATTTTGCGGGAGAAAAAAATCTTTGAACCGTCAGACGAATTTGTTAGATTTTATGAAGCCTTCTACATCAAAATAACTTAGGTTTACGATTTTAATAATATAATTTGTTATACGTGTGTATTATCTAAGATTTTATTAAACATTTTTTTTCTAAATTATTGTTTTCTTTAGTCTTCGGTCCCAATTAAAAATAATTTGTATGTATTTATATGCAAAATTATACCCCGACTTACGCGAATTCAACTTACGCGGTTATCGCTCGGTCCCACCTATCGCGTAAGTCCGGGGTATGACTGTATATGGGGCTATATTTGTTGCCAGTCCGACGCTGGATATGTCGGGCCCCGAGTTGACTAGTAGCCGAGTAAATGAAACCACTGAACACTTGTAGTTGGTTGCGGATTCGGCCTCACCAACGGGCTAGACACGTGCAGATTTCCAGGTTTTATTCATGTGTTTAACATCTAAATAGGAATTAATTTTCTATAGAAAGTCCTATCGGAAGACAGATCGCTCTCGTGTTACGTCGCCTTATTCCATCAATCCAATTTGACGGCCGCATGGCCGAACGATTAAGGTGACAGCCTATCACTCTGGGGGACTTGGAATCAAATTCGGACGGATCGAAAAGTCTCCAGGAATTTTTCGGGGGTGGTCCGACCGGATATGTCGAGCCCCGTCCTCACCCCCCGGCCGGCCCATTGGGGGCCTGGCCGAACTCATAATGGGCTTGCTAAAAGAAGCCTTCTTAGTGCCCACAGGGCAGGAAGAGCCAAAACGTAACTTTTTAAATAAAAATAATCTTTTTTAAGCACTAGGATTGATGTAACAAGATTTAAAAATATCAAATATCTAAAGTTGTATTTCGAGTGTCAATAATTAACAATTTAAAACCTGCCTATGGAGCCAACTAAAAAAATATTATTGGGTTTTAATTAATCAAGAGTATTAATTATTAATTTTACGATTATAGTTTGATATTAAATTCATTTTCATCAACAGAATTATTGTATATTCAATAAAGTTTAGAAATACGTGTACATGAATCATAATGTTTGGCGAGAATTTGGCTATTTTTCTTAGTTTCTGCTACAAGTGGATGGGAATGTATTCGAATGAGTTATAAAGTTAATGTTTTTGGTCGGAATTACGATTGTCATAACCATCGTTAATTCGGGTCTTAGTTAAAGTCTATAGTTCTTTATTGTGTAATTTATTTATCACATTTAAGATGAATGGAAACAACAATTCGACAGCAGCGGAACAGGTTACAGGTAACGAAACCGAAGATTGGACTGAAACCAAATGTTCTTTCTGCAAACAAATATTGGTGGAGAGTAGTGAACCCAAATTATTACCGTGTTTACATAGCGCCTGTAAGGCCTGTTTATTAAATGAATCTGCTTCCAGCCCTGCTCCTAACAGTTCTACAGGTACATCATTTTCATTTTCTTTCATGTCACAAGGATATCAAAATACAAAATGTATCATTTTAATTAGCTTTAATTTTCTCAAGATGCAATGCAACTAACAATGAAAATGTTTTCCTCCAAATATTTTATTATTTTCTTTAATAATTTTATTATTATTTTTTTAATGATTAGAAGATTATCAGAGAATCAGCAGTTTTTTTAATAGCAGAATCTATGGGGAATGTTTTAAAAGTGTGTAATAACTAACCAAATACCTGTATATTACTTCTAATAATTCAGTTATTACAAGTAATATCTACAGTTTTCATAAGCAAATTTCTATGTGAAATACCTACATTGACCAAAAGATTGTGGACATTGTTTATTCTTTTTTGATATTTGCAAGAACAATGGCTGTATTCGGCAGTTGTAACTGACCAAATTGGTAGTAACCTGGATCTGCCAAATGATGAGTGACGTTGCATTGGAATAGAAAGCCTCGTTGGTCAGTTTTATAGCGATAGGTAGTGTAAATGAAAGACGCTACCAAATGTGATAATGAAATTTGAAATACCAAACATGTTTCAAAAGAGCGCTACCTTAGAGGGCATTTGACAGAAAAATACTTGACGGCTTGGGAACAGTTGAGTCTGCCGAACGCTGCTGGTGTCACAAACCCCGCGCTTCTTTATGCAGCACTCAAGAAGTGCTTTATAGCGAACACACTGAAACTGGTTTCTAATTGGTCAACACTGCTCGAGACGTCATTTCGCTACACTCTCGCTGCATAAAGAAATGTGGGGAAACTTAGAATTATAGTTTCTATGAGAGTAATGCATGGCTGGCTCCAGAGAAAACTTTGGCCTACAGTTGTTTATGCTTTTATAAATTGTTATTTTATTAACAGAAAAATAAAATCTTTAAGACTACTATTTATTAATAAAGAAACATTATAAGTATTTTGTTTATTTAAAAAAAAAGGGCAAAAAGGGTCCATTGTATTCTTTGGCTGCATACCAAGATTTTGATGGCCATGGAGTAATGTATTGTAGAATAGAATGATCAGCACAGTGACATATGTCCTTTATTTAAGAGAACAGACTTTATTTCACTGCCCTGATTTTTAGATTTATGTTTTTCTAAAATGGTTATTTTGTCTTATTTTGTGAATTGAAATAGTAAATTGAAATTGGCATATGTTTTCGCACTGCATCTGTTAGTGTTGTATGTATGTATGTATGTATGTATATATATATATATTGTACTGTACAGTACTTGGCTGTATGTTTAGTTTAGATGCTGTGGTAGGAGTGCAGTGTAAAATTTTAAAATATCTCACAGATAAACATTTTAAAAATAATTGAATCTTGCTCAGGTCTCCATGGATCTAATTCCCACTCTGAACAAGTATTTTCATTAGTGAACAATATGTGGACTAGTAAAAAATCCAATTAAAATTCAAAACATTGGAAGCATGCATTTATACCAAATGCAACTTTGACAAGATTGTATATAGTTTTATGAATTTTTAAAACACTGAACTTTTTTAATTAAATCAAGTTTTTCTTTTGAAAATTATCAAAATATTTATTTTTTTAAAGTAATAATATGAATGTTTAAAATGCTATGTATATGCTTATTATATGATAAATGTTATAAAGCTTACAAACTTACAAGGCTTTTAGTTTTAGAGTAACAAATGAATGCAACTTGCTTTTTTTTATTATGAAACAATTTCTGATTTGTATTTTATTTTCTCAAAAAAAATTATAGTCACTGTAACAATCAAATGTACCCATTTTTGTCTGTTTCTAATATTTTGATTGTAGAGTCAATCTCTGAGTAGAATAATTTTATTAACATGCCAATATAATAATACCAATTTATAAATTGGCTATATTTTCAAAATTTATTAAAGTTCACTCAGTTTTAGTCCTCATTTTCATTGATTATGAAATGTATTCCCAGTTGGATTGTAAATGATATGTCCACCCATTTTTAGAGCTGTATCTTGTTTCATAAGCACTTAATATCTGATTTCATATTAGTGCTGTGTTTACTTTGTTTCCATTAGAAAATAAAAAACACTTTAGTATTTTTATAATTTAACAATTTTATTTTTATAAAAATAATTTTATAAAATCAGTTTATTTTATTTTTATAAAAATAAAATCAGTTTTTATTGTATGTTGTTTGTAGTATTTAGGAAGTGTAGAGTATATTTTGGAAATAGATATGTTAGTTTCTCTGATATATTAGTAATTAAATAATATAAAAAATTCTAAAAAAATAATTGCTTGAATCAGGATCTGAACTTGTAAATTTTGCTGAATTATTGTACTACAAGTTGCTGTTCAAATTTTTTACTAAATTGGCTTTCTTCCAGACAAGTTAATTGTAGATTAATATATAGCAACATGTGACTTGTAGTTACAAATTATTTAATTAATTGAATACATTGATAAAATAAAATTTGGTATAAAAGTTTGGATTTAGAAAGTATTGAAGCTTTGTATAATTAGATATTTACAAATTTTACTTCCCATTAAGAGATGTTTATGAAAATAGGAATTATTCTAAAAAATTGTTTAGAAACTAGCTTGTAAACTTATCAGGAAAAAATATATGATACCAGTATGAACTGGTTACACATCAACATCATATATATATTAATTGAATAAGCAGATTAATATATTTATTATTCTATGAATCTAAAATAGAGATTAATGGATAAATGTTCAGATAGAAAGAATAAAAAGTCTGTAAAATTGATTATAAAAAGATTTGAATTGATAATCCATCTTTAGAAATATAAATGATTAAACTTGGCAAATATTCAATCTTTTGCTCATATCTGTATTATTCTTTTATGTATTTCATAGAAAGCTATAATGAGATTCTGTTATTAGTCAGTTAATTTAAATTTACAGATAACTATTATACTGAATAGTGAATACTTTATTAAATATGAATGAACTTTACAAGTTATAATAAAATTTAAAATAATTTTATTTAGAATTTAATTAATTACTTAATCATTTTAAGGCCTAATAATTTGGCAGTTTGTGTGGCTATAACTATAAATAAAGTTTTTGATTTGATGTTTTTATATAAAATTTAAGATATGCATAGTATTTGGACTACATTCATAAAAATTCATATTGTAAGCTGGAAAAGTACAAATTTGCATTTCCAAGGTTCTGAATTTTGGGTTATATATAGGTAGGCTATATACACTGTCCTAAAGCCAGGTATTCACATGAGCAATTTCAGCATATGATTTGAATATTTTTGGCACTACACATAGTATGACCTAGAAAAATTATTGTCTTTCAATAAATTATGTGGTTAGACATGAGTTAGATGATTGAGCTGGATGTGCTTTTTTATCATGTGAATCACACACAGCCAATCAGCAACAAATAAGATAGTTTGATACCATTTTTTTTATAAAATGGCCTGGTGGATGAATACATCAACTGAGAAAGTAGTAGAAATTTTTGATAAAAGGGATGAAAATAGTACTGGTAATAATAATAAATTGATGAATTTTTTTTATAAAGAATAAGTATATTGCTAGGATAATTGCTTCATTGTCATCTATCTTTGATATCTTTCTTCCTTCCTTTCTGCCAGATAGCATATGAATGAAGTGCAAATTGCATAATGGAAATTGTGCAGAAGTCATGTGATTGAGTGCATGCTAAAATCACTCATATAGATATCTAGCTTTAGGGTCTTTTCTATAGACCTTCATTTGGAATCAATTTATCCTGTTTTTTTTTCTCTCTTTTCTTTCTTTTTAACAGTCAAGTTCAAGATGTGCATTTCAGCTTTCAACTTCTGTTCTTTCATTGAAAGTAAATCTGAGTGTACCGTGCTAAGTTCTCTCCCTCTCTCTCTAAACTTCTTTTCCACCAAAAAGACCATTAGAAAAAAAAAGCCAGCTCTTCTCTCACTGAGAGGTACAGTACATGCTTTCAAAAGCATATGTTGCCAAATAATTCTTTTCACTAGTCTTGACCTGCTTATTTTTCATTGTTATTAATTGTCCATATGTATTCTCTAAGGTGCTTGTTAATATTTATGTAAGACTTTTTCCAGACTATGAAATACTTTAATTTTGATGAAATAAAATTTAGTCCTTTTTTTCTCCAGACATGAACATTTGAAAATGAGAAAATTTAAAAATGAAACTGATAATACACCTATTCCTGTTTTTGCATGGTGGATATGTTAGGCTCAAAGACCAAAATCGCTCATTGAGCGAAAAAAATGACCACGAAGTCAAATTTGCATCATGGCAGTTGTAAAAAACAGCCACAACATGTTGTGGCTAACTGAAAACAACCACAAAGCGAAATTTGTGTCATGGCTTTCATGATATTTGACCACTACGCATTGTGGTGATTAAGAAAAGCCATAACGCATTCTGAATGTTAGCTGATGCAACCACAATACGAAAGATAGGTTGTAACTTGTCAATGGGTGCATTGCAAACATTTGCTGAGTTTGTTTTGTGTTCATTCTTGACCAGTGCTGCCGTTTCTAGGGTAATTACCCTTTTCTAGAATAATTTCAACCTCTCATAGTAATGACCAAGACAAAACCTTTCTCACTAGTTTCTAGTCGTTTATACACGAGGACGAACATTTTCAGCCTTTTTAATAGGCCTTCTGTTACACCATGGTCTGTTAGAGTGTTGGTTGGTAGAAATTTAAAAGATGTCAATGTTTACATAGGTATTGTTATACCAGTGACGTCATAGTTGATGATAAGGTTTAGACGATACTGAGGGCGTTAAATTTTTTTTTTTTTTTTGGTAAAAATGAAAGGTGTGTGGATAGTTCATGATGGGATAATTGCTAAAGTTGGGAAATAAAACTGGAAAATAAATGCGCTAAGTAAAGATGATGCACTATCACGATAGAGGGTTAATGGGGAGTGGTGTCATAGTTGATAACAGAGCATAGATGATGCCGACATCGTTAAATAACTAATGATATCATAAGAAAAGGCAT